CCAAGAGAGCGGGGGCGAGGGGGGGGCGTCTCCGCAGGCGGTTCGCAGCCGGGGCCCCACCCGAGGCCAGACTGCCTTTGCTGCTGCCTCACATCTGCTTCCTCTGCCCCCCGCGGTGGGTGGAAGGGACTGCCCCTTCCTGCCTTTGTCCTGCACCAGCCGGGGTTTGCTGCAGCTCGGGGCCCTCCGTGGAGCTGGGTGCACGACTGGCGCTGGCAGCCCCAGCCCCCTGCTGAGACTCACTGCTCTGGGGTCAGAGCTGTCACAGCTCCACGAGCTCCCAGCCGGGCCCCCATCGCAAGGCCAGAGCTGACCCAGTGTGTGGCAAGGCCTTGTTCTTCCCCTCCCCTTCTGTTCAGTCACCCTGGGAAGCCCTTCCTTCCTCCTTCCCCCAGCTCTGAGGGGCATGCAGCAAGGAGAGCAGCTCAGGCAGGAACAGCAGCACGGGAGGCCCCGGTGGCAGTTGCAGCACAGCACCGAGATGCCAAACCCGTGCCCCGTGCCGCTGTGCCCTGGAGAAACCCTGCCACCCCCGAGCTTCCTCAGCCTGCGGGCCCCTGCTCCTCACCTTCTGGAAGTGACTTCACCACCACGGGCAGCTCCACCCAGAGGGAGTTCACGGCGACCCAGGAGCCCATGCCGAAGAGGGCCACCAGCACGTGGGTGAGCGCAGCCTGGTGTGGCTCACAAGCAGCCATCCTGTCGGCACGGACGCTGCAGAGAGGAGTGGGGTGCGAGTCAGCGCGGCTGCTGGAGCGTGCACTGCAGCACAGCCCGCTGAGGCCCCCGCGACCATCGCGGGCCCTGGCAGCCCTCCAGGGCTGTGTACGGGGGTGAAGAGAGCGACAAGATCCTGGGAGCAGGCTGGAGGGGGCAGACTTCCCACCTGGCCCGTCCAGCCCGTTTCCTCCGAGCCCTGGAGGGGCTCTCTGCCCTCTGCCTGCTTTAGAGCAAGGGATCTTTCACGCCAGGTCCAGGGCACCCTCCAGCTGAGCCTCTGGTCGCTCGAAACCAAGCTCGACCAGTTTGGACCTAGATTCATCCACAATCAAGGGAGGGAAAATGCTGCAGCGCTGTGAAGTTACCCCTACAAGGCCCCTTGCTCAAGCAGAGGGCAGAGGAGAGAACAAGGTGCACGTCTGGTACCTGATAATCTTGGACGTCTACGACAGAGTTGCTCCCCACAGCCCGGGCTACAGCCGGCAGAGACACACGAGGAGCCGGGCGCTGTTGGTGCCAGGGCCTCTGCAGCCAGCCATCGCTGGGAGAGATGGAGACAGACAACAGGTTATCCTGCAAGCCGGGGTGTCACCGATGTGGGCCCGAGCCAGGCTCGGGCGGTCAGTGCCCCACGGGGGGAGGCTCCATGAGACGCTGCACGAAGCCTGGGCAGGAAGAGGCTTAGGCAGGCTGGCTGGGGACCAGCGCAGGCTCTGGGCAATTCCCAGTCAGGCTTCAGACCCTCTCAGGAGAAACCCCACGCTGGGGAGGGCTGGGGGACACCGGTGAGCGGGAAGTATCTCGTTATCTGCGGCCGGGGGCGGCTCCGAGCAGATCCCACGAGGCCACTCGCCTCTCACCCCACGTTAGCGTCCAGTGCTTGCTAAGCCCCAGACAGGTCTCCCACAGGAGCAGGGCAACAGGTGCCGCTCAGAGCAGGCAGCGGGGCAGGCGAAAGCACCCTGCAGCACCCCCTCCCTGGGCGACGGGGCAATTCCACCCAGCAGGCCCCGCGCACCCCGCTTGC